TATGATGTAGGTTAAAGGATTGCAGCAAAGACAAAAGTTTTTTTTCAATTCAAATGGAATAAAGAAAAAAAATATTTTGACAAAGGATGAAATAAGGAACACTATTAAGAGGTTTTTAGGTGGCTTTTAAAAAAGCTGGTTTAAAGGACTGTTGATCCTTCATCATTTGTCGTCCTAGCTCCAGCGGGGACCCCGGCCAGCCGCTGCCTCTCCCCAGCACTGTTGCTCTCTGCCCGGCTAGATAAAAGGAAGTTCTACTCAAACTGACTATCATCCACATGCAGCTCTTGGAGCAGGTAACCACCGAGCAAAAATGAATTGAAAATATCAAATAATTTACGTCTAAACGATATCTAGAGTTAGTTGAAAAGTGAAAGGTGAAATATTTCACTTTTCAATTTCTTTTTAATGTCTATTACTGAACTAAAGTGGGACACTGTCACAGTTTTTGTTCTGTTTTGTTTTCTTTTGAGTCCTCAGTTTTACTTTGCTTCTTGTTTTCTGGTTTTAGTGGTTTAATTCTTTTTTTTGTGTGTGTTTTCTGGTTATTTTCAGTTTTCAGGTTTTTATTTGTTGCCCTCTGCTGCCCTCTTGTGTTCTCCTTTTTCCATAGCTCCTTTCCTGTTCTGCTCTGTTCACACCTGCTCCCAATCTCCTCGTTATTCCTCTTTTTGTTCAGTCTCCCATAAATACGCTCTCTGTTCAGTTCCTCTGGGCTGTTTCCTCGTCTAACTTCCTCCAACTCCGCCTCTCAGAGTCTTCCTCCTCTTCCATGTAGTCCCCCCCACCATGTTTTCATGGTCTCTGGCTTGTTTCACTTTATTTTCATGCTTTGATTTTTGGATTCCTGCCTCAGTTGTCTGTTTACTCTTCATTAAATCATCAAGAAACTCACCTCTGCTTCCCTGCCTTTGCATTTGGGTCTTCACACCTCAACCAAATCCTGACAGTCACAATCAGACTGACCAAACGTAGCCCAAGTTTCAGCAACTATTTCTGGATTAAATCAAGACTATGATGGACCGATCTGATATAGCCAATTAACCAACTTCTATGGGGTGGTGGTACTCTCCAAACTGGTTCCATCTCTGGAGAATCCAGACCCATAGACATCAATGGCAGCTGTAAGCTGTCAATTCTTTGTGGTACAGGCGGAAATTGCTGTAGATAATGCTTTTGTTGTAAACTCACCATTAAAAACAACACAGGAACGATAGAACAGACACATTCATTGAGGAAAGTGGTCACTAGAGGGCATGGATTCATCTAAAAATGAAAGATATTAGCCTGGGAAGCTGAATGAGGTGATTTCCGAGGTCCTTTAATGGTGGAGGAAAGCTTAAACAAGAGACTCAAAAGGAAAACTGTTGGTACCTCAGGATCCAGTTTGGGTCTAGAAGACAAATAATGGTGGAAGATGGACAGCCATGTCAGCTAAACAGGTTCTCTGGAGTAACATAAGTCCAGATGATGAAAATAAATCTAGCTGGGACGAGGAGGAAAATCTTAGATGGCTTGTTGGTTGGAAAAATCAACTTCTTTTCTCATCCCTTATTTTCATATCAGTGCTTATTTTCATTTATTTACCTTATAAAAGTTTACACTCTGACCTTTTGACACCTGCAAGGCTACATAGTGGATTCTACATAGTGGATTCGTGAGAGGGTTCTTTTAGTAAAATGACATTATTTGGAACAGAAGATTATTTTTCCATCTTATATAACACTCCTTCTCAAGGTCAAGATCTATCACTGTCTGCAACGTGCTTTTGATTAACTATATGTGGAAAAACCTCCACAGCTTTAAGTAGTTAGAGAAATGCTGTATGACCAGAACATGGAGGAAAATTAGCAACACTAAGGCTCTGTCTGAATGTCCGCCCTAATCACTATATAGGGAGTACGCTATGTCCTAACGTCTAGTGCGAAGGTCTTCAACAGAGGGCCTGTGAGCCCTAAGGGGTCCACGGAGGTACTGCACGGGGGTCGTGAAAGTTTGGGTTGATTAGACTTTTTTTTATATTCCCCAACTGAATTTTTTTCCAATAATTGAAATGTCTTTAAATCCACATTAACATGAATTCAACACACTGTAGTAACAGATAAATGGAGGCAGAAGATGTCTTTTAGTCATCAATGCTCACATTTAGCGACACACAGGAGCTCTTTCAAGCTGGACACCGTTTCATTCACAACACCTGTCCCATCAACAAAGAATCAGAATCAGAAATACTTTAATAATCCCAGGGAGAAATTACTTTCGTTACATTACTCCATCTGTAATAGAGTAACTATAGGAACAGTTTGATATAACACAATTTCATACTATATACAATTAGGGGATCCCCGCTCCATTTCGCCATCAGTTTGGGGATCCTTGGAAAATGTTGAAGACCCCTGGTCTAGTGGATGAAAAAGAGATTTCCCAAAAATACACCTTGAAAAGTAGTGATCATCCATGTTCATTAGATGAGCAGATATATCCCAGAATGCTTTGCGAGGGCTCTTCCTCTAAAGTATCATGGGATTTAGTGATAGCAGCCCACTATCAGGTAGTAACAGTAGCGAATAATAACAAAGATGGCGCAGGCACCGTGCGGGGAGGCGGAATTATGTGACAGACTGGGAGGGAAAAGTAGTGATCATCGTTCCGAAACATCTGTGTGGAGGAGGGTTCAAATATTTATTTGCAGATGTATCATACAAATAAATAGTTAAAAAAAAAACATACATTGTGATTTTTTTAATTATTTTTTTTAGATTATGTCTCTCAAAGTGGACATGACCTATGATGACTATTTCAGACCCCTCCATGATTTCTAAGTGGGACAGCTTGCAAAATACCAGGGTGAATATATATATATATATATATATATATATATATATATATATATATATATATATATATATATACACAAGGTCTAATTTTCAAGAGTGACTCATTTTATATATAAATTACATAAAACTACATCATATTAAAACATACCCTTGTCGTTACAGCTTGTAAACCAATCAAGCAAAAACACACAGACATAACAAAGCATTACATGACCAAATACTCCATTAAACTGGAGCTAAAATTATCTTCAGCAGTTCTATTAAAATTTAGAACTGCTAAATTTTAATAGAACTGCAGCGCACAGTGGTAACACTTGGTGCAGCGCACAGTGGTAACACTTGGTGAGACGCAGGAGAACTCTAGTCTGGACAAACCCCACAGTACTGGAGATCTCTTAGCACCTGAGTTACCTCAAGACCTCAGGAGGGACGAACCTCATTCCAACCCAGTGAGCCAACCACATCCTGCGAGGGAACGAATACAATGGCCCA